TGTGTTCTTCATTTCTGACTGGTTCTTTTTTATAGTTTCTATCTCTTTAAGTTCTTACCCCTTCTCTTAAGTTCATTGAACCTTCTTATAACTAATGTTTTGAATGTGGTATGTTATAGCTTGCTTGCTTCCATTTTGTTTAGTTCTTTCACTGGAGTTTTGTTTTGTTCTTTCATTTGGAACATGTTTCATCGTTTCTTCATTTTGGCTCCCTTCCTGTATGTGTTTCTCTGTATTAGGTAGATCTGTTATGTCTCCCACCTTGGCAGGGTATCTTTATGTAGTAAGTCCCACTGGTGCAAATTCCCTGGTCACCTCAGCCAGGTGCTGCAGGGGTGTCCCTCACGTGGCTTGTGTATGCCCTCTTGTTGTAGTTGTGTCTTGATTGCTGTTGGCACATCAGCGGGTGGGATTGACCCTCAGGCTGAGTGGCTCTGAGGAGTGGCCATGACTATACCAGATGAGCTGTAGTTTGGGGGCTGACCCCATGGAGTAGGGTTCACTGTAGTGTGGCTCTGGTGCCTGCAGAGTCTACCCTTTGGGCCTGTTTGTGGAGCTAATTGGGTGGTGCTCTAGCCTGTTCCGAAGCTGGCCACTGGGTGTGTTGGTACTGGGGGCTCTTGGGAGGGTCTCTAGTGAGGTCCAGGTCAGCCACTGCCTGTGTCTAGCCCATGGCCACCTTGGTAAGAGCAACATAGTGATCAGTGGTTGTTAGCTGCCTGTGTTTGGCTTGGAGGAACGTGGGAGATGCTGTGTTGCAAACCAACCCAAGGTCAACAGCTACTAGTGCCAGTGGCTGCTTAGCAAGCTATACAGGGCATGCCGAGGCCAGTCACTGATGTTTTGGGTTTTGTGGACCTTTGGGAGATTTTAGGAAAGTCCTCAGCATGGGCTGAAGCTGCAGCTTGTGAGGAACAGCCACTGAGAGAGGTTTGTACTGATGCACAGGTTGGGTGGAGTGAGGTCTCAGAATCACCAGCGTGGGCCATTGGTGACAAATACTCAGATATGGCATCCAGCTGTGCCTGCAGGCTGTGTGGGAGGAGGGCTCAATGAAAGAACAGTGGTACCTGCCAACGCTTTTTTCTGGGAGAGAGCTGGTACTCTCTGGTGAGAGAGCCCTCACCCTAAAGCCAGACAATTTAGTTTCTTCCCATATGTCCCCGGCATTTTTTGAGCTGCTGATGCTTAAGGTGAGTGTGAGCAAGTGAGTTTGGGTACACTCTGCAGCATGGTGTTATTACTATTAATGAAAAACCCACGTATTGTAGATTCCCCCAAACTGACTCTGATTTAATATAATCAAATTAGATGTAATTTATGTCTTCCCCCATGTCCCCATATTTTAAAAAGGCAGGTTGGGGTAGAATATTAAAAAGACCACACTAAGAAATGCCAGGCTCAAGGCGAGGGCTCTAAAGACTTAAACCTGAGTATAAAATTTATACATGATAAACATTTCTGGCTTTTTGAGATCTACTGAAGTTTGGAGTGATTACAGCCTTCATTTGATCTCTCGAGATAGTTTGTGAGAGGTATAATCTCTAAGATCTGTATTCTATTTACACTGGGCTGTTACAGGAATAGCAGATAATTAGAATGCCAGTAACATTTCTTGAGTGCTTACATGTATCAGGCACTATTTTAAATATATAACATGTATTTAGAGTTCCTCCCTGCTTTACAGATGAAGAAAACTGAGGTATAGGGAGGCATAGGTCACTTGTTCAAGGTCACATAGCCAGAAGTCCAAGATTCAAAACCAGAGCCAGAGTTGAAAGCCTTGCAATTTGAGTGAGAGCTGTGCTCAAGTGCTGGCGCACAGCCTCCTAGCGACCAAAGCCAGGGTCCCAGAGTGTTCCTCTCCGTCACCCCTGAAGAAAAATAACTTCAAGGAGTTTGTTGTTTTTCTTTTAGGCAGACCATGCATTTTTTTAAAGACAAAGTTAACATAGTTAAAATTAGGGGGATAAATGGTAAAGAAAAAATACAATAAAAACAATAAAAATCAACTATTTAAAAACATACTATATACATATAAAACTGTATGTCTGAGTTTTTAAACTTAAGGCTAGGGAATACAAAGCCCTCTTGGGCACCCTTAGTGGCTATTCAGTCTTCCATGTGAGTGTGTATTTTCTAGTTTTTCATTTTTCGGTATTGGCTTCTTTCTATGTTCTTTTTTATTTCTCTTTTTTTCCCCTTCTCTTCCCATCTCCATTTTTAGTAAGACTTTATCAAGCATCTTTTATGTATAAAGCTTTGTTTGCCTTTAAAATTACTTTTTAATTATAAGGTCCCAAGGATGACATTGAATTAGAATATATATATCATTTTGAACCTGTTGATAGATATTTTTGCTAAATAGATTTTCTAATGAATTATACCAGCTTATATATTATCATCAATATATGCGAGTACCTATTTCATCTAATCCTTATAAACACTGAGTATTTTCACTAAAAATTAATTTTATTAAGAAATTTGATCTTATTTCTAAAATTTTATATTATTTCACATATTTTACATAGCACTGGTCCACTTTATTCATATTTACCTCTAAAATATTTTAGTTTTAAAAAAGTAAATTAGATAGAAGTGATAGCTGTACACCATTGTGAAAGTATGAATGCCACTGACTTGTTCATTTAAAATGGTTAATTGTATCTTGTGAATTTCACCTCAATGATAATAAAAGCATGTATGTGCGTGAGCAATGAGTCTGTGTGTACGTGAGTGTAAGTCCTCCAGCGGCCAGTGCTGTTGTGCCCTGCTCAGGCAGTAGGCGTCCGCGTGATACAGCTTTCTGCGGAACTCTCCTGGAGCCTGAGTCAAATGTGTGATGCATGTTGCCCTTCTTTCTGCCAGTTAGTTTGTATGTTGCTCACTAATTTGGGCCAATAATAGATTTATAGTGGTTGATAAATGATAGTTTTTGACCTGCCTTCAAAGGAGGGTATCCTGCTAGATGTTATCATGCAAGTTTTATGGCTGCCAGAGGACAAATAAGCACTGCAGGAAACAGAGGGTAAAGATCAACCCAGTTAGGAAATGGTGGGAACTGTTTGACGTCGTGAAAGGGATTATAAACATCCCCGTGTCCTGGGAAAAGTGGCCAACAGTATTAATAATGACGGGTAGTTAGCAAACCCTATGGCAGAAGTCTTGTAAGTGAAACAAAGATTGCTGCCCAGAGCATGCAGTCTCAGCACTCCGGACGTCACTGGAGCCCTGTCCCACCTGCTGCTGTGCTTTGAGGCCGTGGCCCTGCCCCAAACAGGGTTGCAGTGTTTCCTGTTTCTAAGTAGTCTGCTACTGTTCTTTATGTATTCTCTTTTGGGACTAAAGGATTTTCATATGATTTATATGAACTCTTTATTATATTAAGACTATTAACCCCCTGCCAGCCATATTTCTTACAAATTTTATTCCCAGATCCTTATTTGCTTTTGAAATGCATTGTTTTTAAATCTTTATAATTTATTAATTTTTGTATTGTCAAGTCTGTTATTTCTTTTGGCCTTATATCACTCTAATCTTAGTCTTTCCCTGTCCAATAATTGATAAATACTAATGTATTTCCTTCAATTAAAAAATTGTTTTGAGTCTGTATTCTAAGGTAAAAATCTGAGTTGTATCCAGATTGCTAGTTTTTTTTGTTTGTTTTAGCTGTTCTTACAGGTAAACATTAGGGTAATTATATTAATTTCCAGATCCAGTGTGAGCTTTCATTTGAAGTGTGATGAATTAAAAGTTAATTTGGGAAGATTTGACACTTTTGTGATATTTAATCTTACCATCTTGAGGCCTAGTTTATATTTTTTGTGATATTCTGTTTTTTTTTTCTTTTCATATGGGTTATACATATTTTTATTAGAGGGTTTTATAAATATTTTGATTTCTTATTCTACTGCAAAAAGGACCTTTTCCATATATGTTGAGATAACTGCCTAGAAATAGTTATTGATTTTGAAATATTTATCTGGTAAATAATAAATTCTTCAAACTTATTAAGTATAATAATTTTCAGTTGATTCTCTTGGGTTTTCTATATCTAATCACATGCCTGCAAAAATATTTTCCCCCCCAATAATTACATACCTTATTTGTTTCATTTATTTGTGCTCTTTTGCTGGACCTAGGAAAATATTAAATGACAGTTTCTTATTCTTACAGATAAAAAAGTAATATTGAATTTTATTAAATTTTTTAACTTCTGTTAAGATAATCCTATGATTAAGATAATCATTGACTTCTTATGCTATATGTAGATATATTTTTTCTCTTTTGGTTGGCCTGGCCCTAAGGAAGATTAGTGTTACCCTAAAGTTTTACTCAACTACTGCCATTAGCAACAGGTCAGAGTTGCTTCCCATTCCCTCAGGTAAAGCAGTCTAATTTTGCTTCTGTGTAATTTTAACACGTACAGGAAGTGGAAGAAAATGCATCTGAGTTTTAAAGTTTTCTGGAAGTCTTCTATTTTAAATTATTTTTGCTTCATTCAGAATGCCCAAATGTAAAGTTGAAATAGCCTTTCTAATATATTCATGTTACATTAAAGCCTTTTATCCTATGTAGGAGGATATCAAAACCTTAGGTTTTATATTGAGGAAACCAAAACCAAGAGTTTATTGAATTTCCTGTGTTTCTGAGTTAAAGACTACATTCTTTTCTAACAATAAGGATCCATAAACTTAAGAATATAATAATGTCCATTTCTCCTTTTTTTTTGTAACTGAGGAGAGAGCAAGGATTGAATTTCTAACCAGTGTCTCTGTCTTTCATATAATAGTAGCTGACGTTTCTTGGTCACCTTCAAACACTGTTCTGTGGGCTTTATGTGTGTTAACCCTCAGTTGTCCAGAATCTGTGAGGAAGGGCAGTGTCCCTTTCCCCTTTTGTAGGTGAGGAGAAATTCAATGCAGATTAGCTGAATTGCTGGAGGTTCATTGCTAATAGAAGACAGAGCTGGGCTTTCATTCCAGTCAGAGTACCGAGTCTTGTTTTTTGAAAATACTGTTTTATTAACACCACAGTGGTAAACAACTTTATGCTTATTTTTTTGATAGATCACTTAGTCACACATAATTCAAAACCCACAAAGAAGCTAAGAGTCTTTACATTAAATGTGTCCTTCCTAAAAATCCTTAACTGTATGCCATTCTATCCTCAAGCAGTAAAATGTGATTTTGCACCATTTTATATTTAATATGTCACATTTACATAGCAAAATAATGAAGGCACAGCTAATACAAGCAAACTTAAACCCTTTCTACTTCTGAACTGGGAATGGGGACACACATTTAGAATGTTTCTTCAAGTATATATATTTTTTCCCAAACATTAGCTTCATTGAAGAGCTCTGATAATTTTCACAGCTGCATTCTAAAAGCTACATGACAAAAAGACTTCACAAGGATCAAACTATGTAACACTGTGTACACATGCTTTATAGAATTTGCTACATTCTACATCTTTTCAAGTAAATTAATATTTCTAAAATGCTAGGTAGAGGGATTTAATACTTAAACATTTGGGTTTTTTTTTACACCTTTGTAAATGGACACTGCCAAGAAAACACACAAACACGAGACTGTAAATAATGAACACATGTGTTGACAATATTATACAGATTACAAACCCTTCTCAGAACCACACTGTTTCTCTAAATTCAAATGTTCAGAATATTCATGAAAATTTGGAGTGGCAGTTTGCAGAGCTCATTCACAGGACTGGCATATCTCCACCGCAGGCCTCCTCCGGGGCGCCCCCTTCTCCGAAGTGTGAAGCTGATGTCTGGGTTAAAAAGCGAAGTGTTATAGATGAGTTTTCTTTCTTGTGTACTGCTTTTTCTGCAGTGGAAAATTTCAAGACTAAAGAAATTGAAGAATTAAGCATTGAGAACATGCTCAGTCTTGGCTTGGGTGTTCCGTGTGTGTAGTGCGATCGTAGAGTGATGAATGGGATTCAGAGTGGTTCTTTATTTCACGTCTACTTGACACCCTAAATAAGTCCTCAGTTCCAGTCCTCACAGAAGAGTAGTGGAAAAAAATCAGTTTTAATTTAACTCGTTTTTTCCAACACCTTTTGATATATTTATTGGGTTCAAGATGAAAATCAAATTTGAAACGGGCTGGTCAGGATCTGATTACATCAATTTAATATATTTTTAGGAATGTCAGAATTGATTCACATTGTATTTTGGTCCAAAGCCTGAGCCTTTGTAAGTTCACCAATATTTAAAACAAAACAAAACAAAACAAAACACCAGGTTTTTCTTCATCGTCATTCTGCTCTTCCATCTCCACCCCCGCTTATTCCTTGGCGCCATCAGATACCGCAGAGCTGGGACCCCGGTCTTTGGCAGCCGCAGCCTCTGCCGCAGCCTCTTCCTCCTCCTCTTCCTCTTCCCCCTCCTCCTCATCCTCGTACTCATCATCATCATCCTCTTCTTCCTCGCCCTCCAAGGTCCATGCACATCCCTCCATCTCTCCAGTGAGCTCTTGGATCTTGGCAAGTAAGGGCTTGTAGATTTCGTTATACTTTTTTTCCAGAGCTTGAAATTCCTTATCAAATTTGGCCTCTATCTTATCGCATCGCTTCTGCAGCTTTTTGAGGGCCAGGACTCGGCATTTCACCGAGTTGGGCAGGCTCTCGATAAAGTCATTTTTAGGCTTTGGCGCGTTCTCCGCAGGGCTCTGGGGCTCCTCGGCGGTCTGACCTGCGGCGCAGTCAGGCTCGCCGGCCGCGCTGTCACAGTCTCCCCCCTGCGCGCCGCCTTCTGCCATTACCTCCTCCGCCTCGTCTGCCACCTCCGCCGCCTCGGTCTCCTGGCTCGGCTCTGCGGGTGCCTGGTTCTCCGAGTCAGCCATGGTGGAGGAGAAGCTGCAGAGGTCTAAGCGGCTCCCGCTGACACCTGCGCCCGAGCTGCACCAGAGCGATCTTGCAGATGCGGCAAGTGGCCGTGACGTCGGCCGCGGCAATGACGTCGGCCGCGGACCCACCCTTTCCACTCGAGCCCTGTACTGGCTTTCCAGAATCAGCTGACGGCCGTGCCCCCGTACTGCGCCAGCTTCCTGCTTCTGCTCCCCTGTCGTCTCCCCAGCCTCGCAACTGACGTCAGAACCCGTCTCCTGGATACCCTGCCTCCAGACTGCCCACATACCTGCCCCCCTGTAGAGCTAACCGGTCTCCTGGATACCCTGCCCCCAGTCTGCCCACATGCACTTTTTTCCCTCTGTAATGCTGGGCTAGAATGGTAGCGAGTGCGGGAAACACTTTTTCAGGAACTGCTTGGATGGCCTCAGCAGTTTTCACTTTGTTCCTCTATCCCACCTAAGTCCATATATGCCACTGTACGTTTGTCTTGGTCTTTGTCTGCATCTTCCCATTGATGCCGTTGTTCTACCTTGGTAGTTTGTCTCTGGCTTACTCTTCTGGAGTCACCTCTCAGATTCCTCCGAATTTCTTTCCAGAAAGCGGACCCATGGGAGAGCTAACTCCATTCCGCTCCCTTTGGGACTTGAGTGCTCCTGTGTGGACAGTCCATCTGCCCACCCAACAGCCCTCCTTGCCAATTTCTTTACCTAGTGGCATATGTAATGTGTTGCAAAGTCTTTGAGATATTTGGTAAGGAACTTCAAGATACAGAGTATTATGGAATGTGTTCTGGAAGATGCCTCAGAATCCTTGGCTTCCGGGTAGGGACAAGGCTGGAGGACAGCCCCATCTTCGCTTGGTTGGAGTATGTATTTGACACGAGTACACACACATGGTTGAGGCATTTCATGGTTTAGCTTCTGCTCTCTGGGTCTTGCCTATGATTTGTATCTGAGAACATCAAGTCTTAAGTAGCCAGTTCCTGTTCTCTAATAGCAAATTAAGTAGACTTTAGTTCCTTACCTTGTTTATTAAACCAAAATGATAGCTTCCTGAATAAGGATGAAGGCACATATTTTAGATTTGGAAGACAAGTGTTCATGCCAAGGATTCCTCAGGAATGCTTTCAAATTCAGTGTACTGATTTCATTGCTTTTTTTTTTTTTTTTTTTTTTTACTATTTGGGACTTTCTGAAGCTTTCCTGTCAAGCATATGAATGTTAGGATATTACCTCCCAAAATATATTTGGTGCCATCTTTTGGCTCTTGTGAGTATTAAGTTAGTTAATGATGTGCAAAGCACTTAGTGCCGACACATAGCAAATGTTTGATAAGTGTTTTAATTTTTTAAACAAAATAATTTATTAATGTGTGGTGATAACCTGCAATAATAATACTCTCTTACAGAAAATGACATCTTTGTGTTTTTCTCCAAAGAAAGTGACTGTTTACAAAAGACCCAGTATACCGCCATTGGCAAGCATCCTAGTGTTTTTGTGTACTTGTGATTCCTGTCGTTTAGTTTACTTTCTTAATTTCATTCCAGTTCATTTACTTTGCTCTTCCCTGCTACCATTTGTGGTTACTGAGTCTTGTGGTTAAGGCTGAACCCTGACTCGCCCCCACTAGCTTTGGTGGTAGCCTTGTTGGCTGCAGCTTCCCTGAGGTTGGGAATGCTTGATCTCATTTTAAAGATAAGGAACTTAGGAACAGAAAAATAAAGTGAAAGAACTATTCTGTGACTATATGCATCACCGAGTGGCAGAATTGGGGCAGAAAGCAGGCCTCTGACTGCTCTAGTACAGAGATGTGACAGACTTCAAAGCAAATTTTTAATCAGTACACCTGGCAGCTTGTCTGAGACAACCAGGATATGCTTACTCATCTTTCAAGGTTTTTATGTTCTCATCTTAAAAAATCTTAAAATTTAGTGTTAAGCTACGACATTTTTTAAGTTTGTTTTATTGAGATATAACTTATGTATAATAAAATTCACCCTTTTTAGAGTGCTTTGACAAATAGAGTCATTACTATAGCAGTGGAGACTCGAATAATAACGTGATCCCCCACACAGATTCCTTCATGGTCCTTACTGCTACCCTGGCGGTTGTCTGTCTCTATAATTGTGCCCCCCCCCCACACCCCCCAAGTATCATGTAAATGGAATGAGGTGTATGTAGCCTTTTTCACTAGGCATAATGCATTTGTGATTACTTTGTGGTAGTATTTACATTAATAGTTTCTTTTCATAACTGAATAGTATTCCTGTTTGAGTTTCCAGTTTTTTTGTGATTATGAATAATGAATGCTGTAATGAACATTCACTTACCAGTTTCTGGGTGAATGTAAATTTTTATTTCTCTTGGGTAAATACTTAGAGATAGTAAATGTAGATTTAACTTTTTAAGAAACTTCCACATGGGTTGGCGAAGTGGCTCTATCAATTGCATTCACACGAGTAATTCATGAGAGTCGCATCTGCTCCAGACCTTCACCAGCGTTTGCACTGTTGCTTACCACCCCAGTCTGGTAGCAGTGCAGGCACACTTACTGGTTAGTGACGCTGAACATATCCGAGTGTGCATATTTACCACCCATAGATCTTCCTTAGGTCTTTTCCTGTTTTCACAATTGAATTCTTTGCTTTTTTATTAATTTTTAAATGTTTTTTTATATGCTCTGGATACGGGTCCTTTGCAAGATGTTTTATAAATATTTTCTTAAAGTATGTGGCTTGCTTTTCCATTTTTGTAATGATCTTCAAAAAGCAGAAGTTTTAAGTTTTGATAAGTCCATTTTATTTTATTTTATGCATTATGCTTTTGGTGCTGTGTCTAAGAAATCTTTGCCAAATCCAAGACCATAAAGATTTATTTCCGTGGTTTCTTTTACAAGTTTCTTAATTTTAGGTTTCACATTTAGGCTATGGTCCATATTAACTTTTACATAGGTGTGAGATATATGGATATCATGTTGATGCAGTACCATTTATTAAAAACATTATCCTTTTTCTGCTGAATTGCTTTTGCAAATTTGTCAAAAATTAATTGACCATGTATTTCTGGACTGTCTGTTCTGTTGAAGTATGCCTCTTTCCTTTCACTCATGCCACACTTGATAACTTCAGTTTTGTGATAATTTAAACTCATTAAATTAGATAATGTGAGTCCTCTGACGTTTTTCTTTTTTAAAATTGTTTTGGCTCTTCTAGTGTCTTCAGTGTTCTACATAAATTTCAGAATTAGTTTAACAATCTTTTTAAAAGACTTTCACTACAATTTGGATTTAGACTTTTAAAAACCATTGGCAATGCACATAGTACCTGCTCCTTTAAATTTGTGCTTAAAAATTGTCAGCTTAACATTTGCCTCATTTTGTGGGTTTTATGGACTCTAGTGAATCATTGGGGCTACAGTTATTATATATATATATAGTATATATATATTATAACTGAGCTATTATACTGTGAAGCCTTTATCTCAGCATATTGTAATTTCTCATGCATCTGTCACATTGGAAATGAAAAGAAGCAAGGTAGTTGGAGGGGAGGGCACTTTGTTAGGGAGTTGGGAACATAGGTCTGTACTCAGACATCTGGCTTCAATTTCTGCCTCTGCCTATATATTAGTAGTTTGTCTTGGATTCAGTAATAAAATTGGAGTAATGATTATATCAACCTCAAGAGGCTTTTTGTGTGTGTTTATTTTATTGGGACATATTCTCATCCCATAAAACTTATTTTTTAATTGAAAATAAATTTAATTTGTTTTATTTTATTGAATATGCTATTACAGTTGTCCCATTTTCCCCCCTTTATCCCCCTCTGCCCTGTACAACCCCACCCACCCACATTCCCACCCTCCCTTAGTTCGTGTCCATGGGTCGTACATACAAGTTTTTTGGCCTCTACATTTCCTATACTATTCTTAACCTCCTCTTATCTATTTTCCACCTACCATTTATGCTACTTATTCCCTGTTCCCCCATTCTGTCCCTCCCCTTCCCCACTGATAACCCTCCATGTGATCTCCATTTCTGTGATTCTGTTCCTGTTCTAGTTGTTTGCTTAGTTTGTGGATGTTTTTTTTTTTTAGGTTTTGTTGTTGTTAGTTATGAGTTTATTGTCATTTTACTGTTTATTTTTTATTTTCTTTTTCTTAGATAAGCCCCTTTAACATTTCATATAGTAAGGGCTTGTTGATGATGAACTCCTTTAACTTGACCTTATCTGGGCAGCACTTTATCTGTCCTTCCATTCTAAATGACAGCTTTGCTGGATAGAGCAATCTTGGATGTAGGTCCTTGCCTTTCATGACTTGGAATACTTCTTTCCAGCCCCTTCTTGCCTGTAAGGTCTCTTTTGAGAAATCAACTGATAGTCTTATGGTAACTACTTTGTAGGTAACTCTCTCCATTTCTCTTGCTGCTTTTAAGATTCTCTCCTTATCTTTAATCTCAGGTAACTTAATTTTGATGTGCGTTGGTGTGTTCCTTCTTGGGTTCAACTTCTTTGGGACTCTCTGGGCTTCCTGGACTTCCTGGAAATCTATTGCTTTTGCCAGATTGGGGAAGTTCTCTCCATTACTTTTTCAAATAAATTTTCAATTTCTTGCTCTTCCTCTTCTCCTTTTAGCACCCCTATGATTTGGATGTTCTAATGTTTAAAGTTGTCCTGGAGGTGCCTAAGCCTCTTCTCATGTGTTTGAATTCTTGTTTCATCATTCTGTTCTGATTGAACGTTTATTTCTTCCTTCTGGTCCAAACCGTTGATTTGAGTCCCGGGCTCCTTTCCATCACTGTTGGTTCCTTGTACATTTTTCTTTATTTGACTTTTCCTAGCCTACACTTTTTCCTCAATTTTTCAACCATACTTAATCATTTCTACGAGCATCCTGATTACCAGTGTTTTGAACTGTGTATCCAACAGGTTGGCTATCTCTTCATCTCTTAGTTGTATTTTTTTTCTGGAGCTTTGATCTGTTCTTTCATTTGGGACTTCTTTTTTTTTGTCTCTATGTGCCTGCTGCATAGCAAGGGGCAGAGTCTTAGGTGTTCACCAGGACGGGGCAACCCACATCACTACCTTGTGATGCTGTATGTGGGACAGGGGTCCAAGAGGGAACAATCCTGCTTGCTTCACTCTCTGACAGTTTTCAGTCACTTCCCTCACCACCCACAA